GAACGAGTTTTTATTGTATCATCAGAAAAATATTTTTTTACTATCTACTTTTACTAATATACATATATTTTTTTTAAATAGTCATTTGAATGCTCATAGTAGGGTTAAGTATACATTAAATGATGGTAGATTTGTGTTAAAAAAAAAGGATTGATAACACAAAAAAGTTTTTTTACAATAATGACAAATTGACCTTTTCAATTTTATCTTTTAAATTGTGCAAAATATAGAATATGAACATAAGATTGGAAACATACATTTTTAAACAAATCATTATTTTATTTATTGTAAATTATTTAATTTATGAAAGTAAATTTAATCTTGTTTGTTAGAAGACATTTCAAATTAATTATCTTTGTAAGATTCAATTACAATTTTATAAGATCCAAGTATAAGTAACTAATTAAAGCTTATTAAAATAATAAATATTACACAAATTAAATTTTTATATAATTAACAAATTAAAAAGTTTAAATTGTCAGTTTTTTGAATTTTTCTTATAAATTGCTAATTAAATTTTTTATTTATTTCTTTAATTTAACCATTAAAATTTCTTTCTTAAAATATGCTTTTTTCAAATAAACAAACAAAAATACTATTTTTTTTTTTTGTTGATATTTTTGAAATATCTTAAATTTTACATTTTACCCTTATATGAAAATTAAAATACTGATATTGACATACAATTTGTTTATTTCATGTACTTCATCAAAAGATATTATTACTTATTTTTGTGAAAACTATAAGAAGATTTACACGTGCATAGATGGCATAAATGTATACAAGGTTTCAGACTATTATTTACTTATTGATGAAACTCGTTTTGCTACAATGCCTGATAATTATCAGGATGAATTGTCTCATTACATATTTAAGAAAGATTTAGAAGATATGACTAGAAAGTATTTTTTATATAGTGGTGGTTACAATACATGTAGAGATTTTATAAAAAATATTTTAATTCAATACGACAATGATCCTAAAATTATTGCAGATAATATATTTAATGATTCAATAATTTTTAGAAATATAGAATTAAAAACAGATAATTTATTGAACTTTAATTATTTTATGCTTCTTGCAGAATATCAAGTTATGAAAAAATGTAAAGTAGATAATATTGAGTATCATGAAGAAATAATAGGATGTTGTGAAATTAAAGAAGAACTTGATAAAATTGATTTATTTCATTTGTTTGTAGACACTGTCAAGGTAAAACGACATTTTAAACTCTTAGTTAAGAAATCTGATATAAATTACAGGATTGATAAAGAAGATACAGCGATGGATTGCTCAGGAGATAGAAGAATATGTGTTATTTTGAATTATTTTAAAAATTCCCACAGGCAAATTTCCTTTGAAGATTATGCTAAAAATGTTTATCCCAATTCTTATTGTTGTAAATGTTCATTGTTTGGTAGAAAATATAAATCTCAAGACAAAAAGCCTAAAAAAGAAATTTTAAATTTAAACATTTTTGAAAAGAAAAAACAGGAAATTATTGAAAGATTAAAAGAATTCAGAGAAAGATTTTTCATAAGTTTTAAAGAAAAAATATTGATAAATGAAGAATCTAGAAATGAAGAAGAAATGATAAAACATAGTAAAATAAATAAAAATACAGGAGCTTATCGTAAAAAAAAATCTTTTAATGCAAGCAAAGAGGATAATAATGAAATTGCAGAAAAGATTTTAGGTGATAGAAAAGCACAAACAAACTTTAATGGTGAAGTAACAAGAGAATTTTTAGATACTAATTATTGTGGTTCTGATTTTGAAGTAAATTGTGCGTTAAAGTATGATTTTCCTGATATCTTTGGAGGAACAAGCTTACAAAAGGATTTTGATTTGCTGACATGTGATATGAAAGAGCTTCTCAATAGATCATATGTCAATGAAGATAACGTGCCCGTAGGAGCCAATTTTAAAAATGATTGCAGTAAAACGTTTGAGACAAAAGGTAAAATAAAATTTTATGAACATTTAAATTGTGATGAAGAGAATATATATAAAAATGGAACTTTTACTGATGAATCAAACAATGAAAGCATTTTTGCTGATGATTATAACACATCTGTACAAAAAAAATCTACAAAAAGAAATTATAAAAATTTAATGTTAAAAGATACGACAGCAAATGAATATGAAAACCATGAGAACGAGATTTTAGATAAAAGGCGATTTGCGCGACGTATTTTGCAATTCAATGACGGCGAATTTGAAGAACGACAAAAATTTTTCGATGAAAATTTTAATTGTTCGAATCAAGAAAATAATGATAAAAAGGAATTTGACAATAACGAGTTAAATATTAAAATTAGGAATGTGCCTGAATTGATTGATACAAATTCATATAAAAATATGTTTGGTGCTACTGGAAGTCAAAGTATTATGGATCCTAATGAAATTCATATTCCTACTTTAAAAAAATATGATATAGAAGAAGATAAAAATTTGATTGAGAATGTAGAAAAATGTAATTTAGATAAAACATCTTGTGAAATATTAGAAAATTTTGATAAAGATGCAGGAATAAGCGGAGAAGAAGAAGGTGTACACGAAACAAAATTGTTTGATATAGAAAATTTAAATAAATCCGAACAGGTTTTACAAGCAAAAGAAATACTACCAGAAAAAATTGTAGATGACGAATGTAAAATTGAGGAGATAGCTGAAATATATCATAGCTTTTTTGAGCAACATGAAACAATATCAAAGATGTCTTATATTTTTTTTGAAGAATATAAAAGAAATGTAGATACAAGTATTGAAGAAGAATTAAAAAATGTTTTAAGTGCAAATTCTTCAGCAGAGACCTTAAATATTGAAAATTATGAAAACGAAAAGATTGGTGAGAAATTTTATAATTCAAGTGACAGTTTTTTAGATGAACAAAAAGGGATATTAAAATCTTATTCAGTGGATGATAAATCTGTTTTAGAAAATGCCAGTTCTTTTGAATTGTGTAAAAATGATTTTAAGGTACAACAACAAAAAAATAGCTCTTGTGAAAATTTTGATAAATTTGATTCTGAAAAACGAAGTCGATCATTAGGAGAGAGTACTAATACATTAGATTATTTTTATTCTGATAGATTAAACAAATACAATTCATCTCCTGATTTGACATTTTGTACTGCAAACAATTCGAATACTAGTTTACTATTTCAAAGATGTGCAGAACATAAAAATGAAGATTATGATACTGTAACCTTACAAAATTACAGCCAATATTCGAAGTCTCCTGAAAATCAATCGGTACTAAGTGTAGATATTAGTGAAGATAAATTAAGTGATGATTCTTTTGAATTAAATAATACTACATCAAAAACTGACGATAAAGACAATAATTTTTCTGCTGCTTTAAATAACAAAAAAAGAATATCTAATGATGAAGGATACACAGAAAGTGTATCGCCCAATTCTGACTCGCTTATTTCATCACAACATAGTCCTATTTTATCTGGTGAAAAATTACCACTAAATGAAGAAGACAGTTTAGTATTGTCATCAGAACGTAGTCCTGAATTTACAGAGAAAAACAAGAATTTTATAGAAAAAGAATTATCATATTTGAATTTAGAATATAACACACCACTAAATAAGGTTTTAGATTATAATTCTACAAAACAAGGAAATTTAGAAAATTGGTTAAATTCTCAGAAAAATAGCATAGAGACAAATCAGATGTCAGAAAATAAAGATAAATTATTTTTTAATGATCAAAATAAAGAGGCAAAAATGAATTCTGTGTGTAATAAGCTTGAGGAGAGTGGCTCATACATATTTGAGTTAGATTTGTTGAAAGAGGCTAAGAAACAGGAAGAGTTTTATGACTCTCAAGATCGGGATTTAAAAAAATTTAAGACCAGTCAGTCAACAAAAAATAAAAAAGCTAAAGATCAAAACTATCCTTTAGTACATGATATTATTTATGAAAATTTTTTTGGTAATTATGAAAATAATGAACAAAAGCCTAGTGATTCTTCTGGTTGTTTTCAAAACAATGAAAAATCTAAAAGTTCTGATGATTTTACGAATTCTGAATCTTATTTTGACAGTTTAGAATTTAATATTAACAATCTATCTGCTACAGATGCTGTAAACATGTCGAGTGAGTGTGAAAAAAATTCTCCTGTAGATCAAAAGTATATTAAGAGCATAAATGTAAATAAAGAATATGTTATAGAAGATAATAAGTGTACAAATGTAAGTGATATGCATTTAATGGCATCAAATATTTCAGGTTCTGATAATAATACCAATGCATCGGATATAGAAAATTTGCAAGGAATGTCTAAAAAAGTAGAAGAAAGTAACACAAGACAGCAAAGTAGTAAAGATATATCAAATGAAAAAGATGTAAGTAATATGTTAGATTCCAAGAAAAAGTCTAAACTTAATTACGATTACTTTTACATCGATTTAAAATCAAATCCATCTGAATGTTGTCAATACGAAGATAAATGTAAATCTAATGATTTTAATAAAAAAATCGAAGGTAAAAATGTTACAAAATGTGATAATTGTTCTATTCCTGACACTTGCCATATCGAAACACATAAAACAGGAAATTGTACAAATGTTATTATTCAGAATCCAAAGAACACATTAGTAAGTAATTTTACGGGAAGTAAAACTGAAAAAAGTTCTATTGAAAATAATAAAACAGAGTGTACAGTAAATAATGTACTGAATCAATATGAAAAAATTGCAAGTAAAGAAAATTTTATCTCTTCAAATTGCATTGTAGGAGATTATGTTAATAAAGGAGATCAAAATTTTGAAGATTCTGTAAAAAAAAATACTGAAAATGAGACCTCTTTATCTTTGAATAAAACTGTAAACAGTGATTTTGATAAACAGGAAGAAGTAGACATTGAACAACAAGATAATAAAATTTTACCTTTGAAAAAAACTGTAAATGGTGATTTTGATAAACAGGAAGAAGTAGATATTGAACAACAAGATAATAAAGTTTCATCTAATTGTAAATCTAACTCCTTAAAAAATATTTGCCATACTAAATATATCGATCCTCTCAAGCCTGAAAATTATTTTAATAGGATGGATTTATTTGTATCTGGACAACAACAATTTAACACTTGTAAATCTAATAATGAGAATATAAATAAAAAAATAGTATCTGCAGAAGATACTGAATTATTAAACACTAGTAGTTATTTGTATTTAACAGAAGATATTGAAAATTCATTTGTGAAAAACATGACAAATTGTCAAAATTCTAAAATTAATAATATTTTAGATAAACAAGAAGTTGAAAAGGCTTTAGAATCCAGCAAGTATTTACTACAAAATAATACAAATCTTTCTAAAGATCTTGTAAAAATGTCTTCTAAAGATAAAGTTAATATAAAAAGTGCTAATTGCAATAACAAGTCTGCTCTAAAAGAAAATAAATCCATCAATAATTCTATGCATACGAGTTTGCCTAATGTTGCATTCTCATCTGATTCCAGTACCACTAGAATTACATCCCCAGGTATTCGCAAGAGAAGTAAAAGCTTATTTACTTCTATAAAAGGTTTAAGCAAATGTTCTAATAAAATTAAAAGCCAGTCAAAAGATAAAAATTTAGAAAATGATATTTTAAATTCTAAACTAAGAAAATCATACTCTTCCAGTACATTAGAAAAGTCTAAATGCCCATCCTTTAAATTTTCTAAATTTACTAAAAGTGAAGATAAAATTAATAAACCTAAAGATTTTAGTTTTCCTTATAAACTCAGTAAACGTATGCATGAATTAGCACTTCCTAAAGTATATAAAAGCTACGAAGAGATTTATGGTAGATCATATCACTCGACAAATTCGCTTGATTATTACAACAGAAAAAATTCATTTTCTAATTTGCATCGAAAAAATACAAATTTTGAAGAAAGTCGTAAAAGTTGGCCAACGTTTACAAAAAGGCTAAGAAAGCAAGAAAAAAATTATAGTTCTAGTGATAAACTTAAACTATTAAACAATAATTTTAAAGCTGTTGCTGAACTTGCAATGGCTTTAAATGCAAAAAAAAAGTCAAGGCAAGCTGTTAAAGTTGATACTTCTGAAAGTAGCACAACTACAATAAAATTAACAGACGTGAAGGCGCCACTCAATAAAAAAAATAAAAAAGAAGAATCATCTTCAACTGAGAGTACAATGAAAAAGTCTTCTGCTAGAAGTTCTAAAGATCGAAATTCATCTTCAACTGAAAGTTCGTACAGCACCAGAAGTAGACCTGTAGTTGGTAGAAATGTTAGTAAATTACCCGAGAGTTTTTTAGCTGATGGTGAAACTATGAATGACAAACACGGTAGAGCTTTTGCATCACAAAGAAAAATTGATGAACTATCAAAACCTAAAGATATTACTAAAATAGTTACAAAAGTTATAAAAAAGCATCCTGAACTGAAAACTGAGACTAAAAGAAAGAATAAATAAATGTATTATAGTTTTGTAAAAGTGTATTTAATAGTGTGCATGTGCTTGTCTTACTTTATATAAAAAATATTTAAATGCTCTTTTACACTTGATATGGCATTCATATAATTTTTAAATTCGTTGGGATATAACATGGGTTTATTTAATAATTATTAATTATATAACAGACATGTCAAAGCCATCAACCCAATACTGCTGATTGACATGTCTAAATCTTTACTATCCTACAAAATTATGTTAAGAATTGTAAATTGTGCAAATGTCTATTCTTAAAAAATTATTTAAAATTGTTTTTTAATTAGTATTTAGTATTACACATTACGTCAAATATCCTAATGTTAGTGTATTTATAATAATTTTAATCTACCCAACCCAAATAAACAAACTTTAATTAAAATCTTCTAATTATTTTTGAAATACACAACACTGTAAATTGTCGTTGAAAATACAAAAATACCAAATAAAAATGATAAATATCCTAAAATATCAAGAAAGATATTCCGCTCTAAATCCATATTAAAATAAAACAATACTGGAAATATTAAACACATAAGTGTAGAAGCTGTAGCACCTATTATCGAGTAAACTAGTCCTAAGTTCATACCACTAACGGCTATAAAATAAGTTAATAAAATAATTAATGTTGTACTTAAAAATGTTACTCTTACTTCATTTTTAAATTGTATGTTAGTCATTTTAATTAAGTAAACCCTACATGGATTTACTTGTAAAGGATAAGATACACCCATTACTATAACATATAATCCTCGCACTATAGTTGCTAGTACATCATTAGGAAAATTTAATATAATATTATCTTTAACAAACTGTCCATAAATTAAATAATTATAGTATCCAAATGACAAGTATAAGGATAAAGCAGTCAATGCAACTAGATAGATTAATTTGCGCATGTTAGGAAGAGAATTATTAGAAATCTCTGAATATATCGCGAAAATATTTTGGTGGCAAGTGAACGAAAAAACGAATTTACCGAATCCTCCAAGATAAGATTTAGATAATGGTGCGATATAATATATAATTATATTATTAGGTATGTCTGTGTATTTATATCGGTAGATAGTAGCTAATATTACAAAAATAATGCTTATTACACCACACAACGATGTATACTTTAATTTATCTAATTTATCAAAATAACAAAATGGACCTACTAGTAGTAAAAAGACTATTAGTACATAAGAAGGTTTTATAGTGTAGTGAAAAAGGGTATGTATAATTGGCGGTATAAGTTGTTTAGATATTATTAAGTAGGATAATGAAACACCGAAACATTTCAAGAACACTGAGAAATCTACTAAGATTTTCGTGTAAGGCATAGAAATTTTAGAGATTTCTGAAAGCGTAGCATTTCTTCCTATTTCTTTCGCACAGTTGATGTATAAAATAAGACCTACCACTGCGAATCCTCCTGAAATAATAGTAAGAATAGAAGCAGTAAATATACCATAAGTAGCAAATAAATAAGGAAATGAAAGTGCACCACTTCCTATACATGTTTTAAGTAAAGTAATAAAGCAAGACTTAAATGTGGCATTCATTATTTATTTATTGTTACACTTTTAATTTATTATATTGAAACAGTACACTAAATAAATATATTACAGGTGTATATTTGTCGTAATAAAAAGATTTAATAGGTCATAATATACACTTCTATTTTGTTACATCACACTTAAAACATTTAATTAAAAATTTCAATATTCATATTATAAATTTTGAATGTAGGAATGTAGACAATAGAATTCTTTTTAACTAGTGTAAGATACCAAAAGTTATAATCTTTTATAATTCCTTCGTATTTATCTAAACAAGCCTTTTTATTTTTCTGTATAGGATAAACAGACAAGACTACAGCACTTTTACAAATATTTTCTATTAGACTTTTATCAACCATAGAATTTTTATAAAAGGTGCCAAAAAGTAAAGCATTGGGAATAATCTTTTTTAAAGTAGATGAATTACAAAACGGCAGTTTAAATAAAAAATCTGAGCGCATAAAAAGGGCATGAAAATATTCAAAAAATTTATTTTGTGTGCACATTTAAATAATAAAGAATATGAATGTATTTTGTGTGTACATTTAAATAATAAAAAATATGAATTTATCTATTCACAAAAATAATAAAAATATGAATTTATCTAATTCACACAAATAATAAAAAATATGAATTTATCTTGTGTGCACATTTAAATAATAAAAAATATGAATTTATCTAATTCAAACAAATAATAAAAAATATGAATTTATCTAATTCACACAAATAATAAAAAATATGAATTTATCTAATTCACACAAATAATAAAAAATAAATTTTTTAATTTACAATTTATCTTTCCATATTTTATATACATCTACTGTTCTAATCAGGTCTTTATTTAATGTATAAATATCCTCTAATCTTATATTTATATTTCTAATAATACTTGTAGTGTTCTTTAGTGTTTTATTCAGTCTTTTTAGAATTTTATTTTTTCTTTCCTCTAAAATCATTTTTGTGGTATAAATTCTAAAAATTTTATACCCCTCACCGTGTATTGTCAAGAATATTTTTTATAAAATTTTTCTGTTACGTGCATGGGATATTGATAGTTTAGAGAGAAAAGGAATATACATTTTATATTTCTTTTAGTTACTAAACTAATATTTTTATATAATTTTTATTTGTTGTCTGTTAATTTAAAAATGTTTATAGTAGTTTTTATAAATTAAAATTATAAAATTGTCGTGCATTCATATATTTATCTTGATTCTAACTACATTAGTAGTTAGAATTAAATAAATTTAACAAAATTGTTAGTTAAAATGTGCTTTTTTTATGTATCCCTTTGTAATGGATAGTTACTATAAAATAAAAGAAGTAAGACAAAATCTTATTGCTCCTGTAGATGTTATGGGTTGTTATTCAGTCCCTAGTACAGTAGTAGATACTAAATTATACGTCTTAATATCTCTAATACTCTCTGCACAGACAAAAGATGAAGTTACTTATCAAACAATGTTAAATCTATGCTTATTTCTTAACACTAAAGAATCTAATGTAAGATTTACACCTTTAAAAGTCAGTTATAAAATATTTTCTAATATTTTATATTTAAAAATTAACAGTAAAATTTTTAGATACGAAAAAAAAGATGGAAAAATTTTAGGACCAGAAATAGAACTACAAGAAAATAGACTTACTTTAGAGAATCTAGTAAATGAGACAAATTTAAAACAGCTTATAACACCAGCGGGGTGTTATAATAAGAAATATGAGACTATAAAAAGTTTAGTACATTTTGTACTTAAAAATGGCTACCCTTCTTCGCTAAGTGAGTGTCTTAGTATTAAAGGGATAGGTAGAAAGATAAGCATTTTATACCTTAATAAATTTTATAGATTAGAAGGGATAAGTGTAGATACACATGTACATAGAATATGTAATCTACTGTACATCTGTAAGACTAAAACACCAGATGAGACATCTAAGATACTAGAAACTATTATAGACATGAAGGAGTGGAGTGAATTTAATAGTGTACTGGTGGGATATGGACAGGTTTTATGTAAGCCAAGGGGACCTAAGTGTACAGAATGTATAGTAAAAGATAACTGTAGTAATTTTAAATGAAGAATTATATTTCAATATAAGTTAAATTAAAGATACATTGTCATAAAAAATTTTTTACTCTACTAAACCAGTTTTTTTAGTTACGTGAGTAGTTGCAAAAATCGGGGTTTAAATAAAGTTTTTAGTAATTTATTTAAGTATACATTACGACATAGTTGATGTTTTTATTAAATTAGATATTTCTCTGTTTGTTTTTCTAAATATACAATATACTTTTATTTCAATATAACTTAAATTAATTATTTAATTATAAAAATATAAATAATAAATTTACCGATTTAAACAGAACTTATTTTTATATCATTGATTTTTATAATATACTCTTGTAATATCCTATTCTCTTTTTCTACATTTAATCCTTTCTCAGACCATTCCAAGGCTTCTGTATTTTCATTGCATTCCAATTTCGCCGATGCTATTTTAACATAAAATTTAATATTATTTTTTTCCAAAAGTAAACCAGCCTTACAATCTGCAACACATTCACTGTACATTTTCATTTTATAATAACAAGCAGCTCTATTATTATAAATTACAGGTGACTGTTTCTCATCCAAATATTTTGTATACAATTCTATCGCTTTTTTATAACTGCCTTTTCTATATTCAAGATCCCCTTCCTCTTTCAATTTAGTAAAATCATTATCTTCATTATGTTTAATTTTTTCCAAAATATTAGTAATTGTTTCGTATTCAGAAGTAGAAATGTATTTGGATTTTTTCTTAAAAAATAATCTTATTTCTGAATCTTCATAAATTGTCATTTTTTTATGGGGCATAAAATGGAAAAGACATGAAGAAAAAGTAAAAATGGTTAATAAAAACAAAGAAATATAAAGTAAAAATAGTTAATAAAAACAAAGAAATATAAAATGTAAAAGATAAGTGTTAATAGTCAATAATTATGTATTTATTGTAATTTTAATGTATTAGAAAGATAAAATTTTACATTTGTTATATCCTAATCTTTTTTATTGAAAATTATTAAGAGTAATTTTTATTAATTGCAGGCACGCACAGACGATATATTACATATTTAAGTTAAGGTATTTATAACAAGAAGACATTGACATGTCAAAACAAATACTATAAAAGAACACTTGTGTCTTATTAGGAAAGATTATAAAAAATATTTATATTGTTAACTTCTTATATAAAATCTATAAGGAGTTAACAATACTAAACATATTTAAAATAATAACTTATTATTTTGTTTACAAAAATATACCCCTCGCAGGAAATGAACAAGGTATCGGAAATAATCGAAAGGTGTAAAGATAAAACGTATTTAAATCAAAACAAAACATTTCTTAAAGAGTTATTTAGACAGCGGAAAAGTATAGATTGTCTTAAAAATGAATTAAATGGTAAAAGAAATTATTTTGTACTTAATATTTTAGAAAGAATAGATTACGACTTTCATCTTATTATTCCTACACTAGAAAAGAAATATATTACACAGTACATGTATGCATCAATGTTCTGGTTGTATAAAAAGGCTTATATTGATAAAAAGCAATTAGAAAAAATACAAGAAAATTTTAGAGTCATGAAAAATTTTACAAAAATGTTTGAAGACACAGAAAACCATTTTTTAATGTTTAGAATAGAGAATGACAGAAAATTACAAAAAATAATTAAAGAAGATTACAATAATAAGACAATACCAAATATAAAAATATTACCCAATTTTGAAGGGGAATATGTTTTTATTTTAAATGTAGATTCCTTATTCGATCTTGGAGGATATAATGATTATGACATAGATGATGCAAAAGAAATGATTAGTAGAATTAAACACGAATTTTCTAAATTTAATTACACTAATGAAAATGATAGTTACAATATAAATAGAATAAGGAATAAATTTCATTATTCTACAATGTTATACAACAAAGTAGATAGAATATTAAATAATAAATTTAGTAAAATATACAATAATATTTTACAAGTTAAAAGGAAAGGTGTAGATATAAAATTAGTCAGTGAATGTACTATTTTACAATTGTTATCAGAAATAACATTTTTTAGATATGAAACTATTTCGTATGAAGATATTTATTCTGTAAAAGATAAACAAGAGGAATACACTAAAATATTTATAAAAAATAAAGGGAAGCGTATTGTTATTTTTGGTGAGAAAGATAAGATTGAATATGAAGATAAAGTTTATTACATAGATATAAAATATTTAAATATATTTAACAAAATAATATTAGAATAATTGTAAAAGATATGTAATGAAAAATAGTATAAGTAATTTTAATATTATAAATATTTATCGTGTATTTTAGATATTTATTGTGCATTTTAAAGTGAAATGTTTATTGTGTATTTTAAATATTTGTTGTGTATTTAATGTGAAATAGTTTAATGTAGAATTTAAAATTTATTATAATTATTGTAGAACTATAGATATTTTTTGCAGATTTTAGAATTTTAAATTTTTTTAGATATTTTTTGTACACTTTAGAATTTTAAATATTAACAATAGGATGTATTTTATTTTATTATTCTTTGATTAATAAACGCTTATTACTTTTTTAAAACAGTCATTTACAATACCCATATTTTCTAATGGTAATTAATAAAATTATTTATGAATTCGATCAGTGCGATCCTAAACGCTGTTCAGGAAGAAAATTAGTCAAAACGGGGAAAATTGTCAGTTACCCAATTAAAAGATATTTTAATGGTATAATTCTAAGTCCTAATGCTGTATCTGTAATATCACCTAATGACAGATTTATAATAGAAAAATATGGCTTAGGACTTATTGATTGCTCGTGGAATCAATTAGAAAAGGTAGATTTTTGTAGATTACCTAAGCGATACAACCGATTACTACCTTTTGTGGTGGCAAGTAATCCAGTTAACTATGGAAAGGCTTATAAGTTGAACTGTGTAGAGGCCTTATCGTGTGCCTTGTACATCTGTGGATTTAAAGAAGAGGCATATGAAATTATAAAAGATTTTAATTACGGTGACGAATTTTATAAATTAAATGGTGAACTGTTGGAGAGATACAGTAAATGTAATAGTAGTGATGAAGTGTTAGAAGTAAGTAAACAGTGGATAGATGAAAATACACGAATGAAAGAATAGTAAGTAGTATTTTTATAAGGAGTTGTGTGTTAAGTAAATTTTAAATTTAAAAAAGATATATAGAAAATTATACTTAGAAAAATTTTAAAAAAATAAAAAGACATAGTTATGTTGTAAAACTAATAAAGTTTTATATATTATATGGTTTATTTTACAAAGCAAGTTTGTTAATCTTTTTAAACTTTTGCCTGTAAGTATAGGGTATTAGATTTTTTTTGAAATTACGTTACGCACATTTCATAAAAAGTAAATTTTTCTTTTGTGGGACTGCAATTAATTTTATAAGACCGATTTTATAGAAAATTAAAAAAGTGATTTTTACCATTTTAGGATGAAGAAATACACATTTAATTTTTTAATTTAAGCAGAAAAAATTAGATGCATTTTAATGCGAGATTTATAAGTTTGATGTTAATTTACAAATCATTTTATTAATAGCTTATATTATATTTTTATAATATAAAACTGACACTACTAAAAATCGCAGCTTTTTGATGTGCGAAAAACTCAAAAAATAGTAAGACAAACTTTTGGTAGATATCAATAATTAAAATTGAGATAAAACTTACAATATAGTGTAGTACTTACACCTTGTAAAGCAAACTATCAATAAAAATTAATTATATCATTATTGAATAGCAAGAAAGATATACATTTAATCTTTTTCTTAAAGTTACGGACTTTAGTTCCACAATATACTTAAATATATGCAAAGTTTAAGTTAACCTTTGCTTGTATTAAAAGACAATTTATGGTAAAACGTTTTAAATTTAAGAATTAATAAGCAAATATACAATAGAAGAACTATGTGTAACTTAAAAGCACTCTAGTTAATAGATGTAGGACAAAAAAACTTGCACGTTGTGATATAATAAATAAATTACTTTATTTTTTTTAAATTTTTCACGCTCTTACTATTTATTTAAATTTTTTTTGCACTAAAGTACTTAGATCTCCCTTCATTTTTTTTCATCAGATTAATATCACCGTCCTCCTTTTTTAAGTCCTTGTAGATAGTCCAAAAAAGTAAATTTTATCATTCTTTAGAATTCAAGTTTAAATGTAAACTTTCATACTAAGATAAAACTCATTTTCTTAAATATTGTTTATGGTATAAAAAATTAAAACCATCATATGTCAGAACAAACGGAATTTTTTCTGTTCTACATTTGTACATTAACCAAATTCATTTTTTTATAAGTAAGTAATAAATTAACTCTATTTACATTTGTAAAATATTATCATATAAGTTTGAAAATAAAAAATGTTCTAGAACTGTATTTCCAAAATTATCAAATTATAAATTTTATATTTAAAACAATCATTATCCTCATATTATTTATTTCCTTTGTACTGTATTTTATAAAATTTTTTTTGTATTTTTTTAAAACATAAAATTTTTATCCCATGGACATAGAATTTCTTTTTAAAAATATAACACAAATTAATTCTACAAATCTTTCTAAACTAGACATTTCTAAAGAACTAGATTCTTTTAAACAAGATGCACTACAAAATACCAGTAAATTAAAATTAATATTTAAGATAGAAATACTCACTAAAATTATAAAAAAACCAGCTGACTATAGAATCCTTATTGATATATCAATTTCTATTTTAGATAGACATAATACACCTTCTAGTATTATTTTTAGACTTAGAATTATTAAAAATATTATTAATGGTAAATATTTTGTACCAGTACAATATTATTTACTAGAATTAATAAAACAGACTGTAAGTACAGGAGAATCAGATGAGACACAGACATATGACTCATTGAATATTACTACAGTTGATGCTGTATTTGTACTAGGAGAAATTAAGTCTTTTTTACTAGAAATATCAAATAAATACAGTGATATGTATGGATTTGTAGAAATATCTAATATTCTTATAAATGAACTAAAAAAGATAAGTAAAGGAATATACAAAGAATACTGTGATAGTATTATAAATGTATTAAGTACACATAGTGACTATGTAAGAAAATGTAGAACAGAAAATAAACCATGTGAAAAGATGATAGTAAAATAAATTTATTATTTTTTTATTTAACTAAGTGTATAAATTATATTATTCTTAGTTTGTACTTATAGTGTTTTTTATTTTTATTGGTTCATGCAGTTTTATAAATTTTACCTTTAAATACGCATGGATAAAAAAAAGAAAATGCCTTTAGATGTTGGAAATAAATCTTCATTAGAAACTAAAAAGAAATTGCCTTTAGAAACCAAAAAGAAAATGCCTATAGAAGTTAAAAATAAATCTTCATTAGAAAGTAAAAAGAAATCGCCTCTAGATGTTAAAAAGAAATTACCTTTAGAAACTAAAAATAAATCTTCATTAGAAACTAAAAATAAGTCTTCATTAGAAACCAAAATTAAATCTTCATTAGAAACTAAAAAGAAATCTTTATTAGAAGTTAAAAAGAAGTCTTCTTTAGAAGTTAAAAAGAAAGTGCCTTTAGAAGTTATAAAGAAGTCTTTTTTAGAAGTTAAAAAGAAATTGCCTTTGGAAAATAAAAATAAATCGCCTTTGGAAACTAAAAATAAATTGCCTTTAGAAGTTAAAAAGAAATCTTCATTAGAAATTAAAAAGAAATTGCCTTTAGAAGTTAAAAAGAAATTACCTTTAGAAACCAAAAAGAAAATGCCTTTAGATGTTAAAAATAAGTCTTCATTAGAAACTAAAAAGAAGTCTTCATTAGAAACTAAAAATAAATCTTCATTAGAAACTAAAAAGAAATTGCCTTTAGAAGTTAAAAAGAAGTCTTTTTTGGAAATTAAAAAGAAGTCTTCATTAGAAACTAAAAGGAAATCCTTCTTAGAAGTAAAAAATAAACTAGAAAAATTCCTTACTAAAGACCACTTTCAAAATACGCCCTATCAGCACCTAAACTACTGGAAAGTGTACAGTGACTTAAAAGATAAAGAAAAACAAAAATAATACATTAACCATAAAAATATAATATCTCTTAGCTTTTGTAAATGTAAAGTGATCTAAAAACATTAAAATTTTATAAGATATTAAAAATTATTGTAAACTTTTAGTTCTTAACTTTTTTACCCCTTAAAATGTTTAGGTTTCTTGTAAATTTAATTACAACAGGACTAGTTTTTTTTAACACTTACAGCCAGTTTAAAGTAAAGAAAGAAGATAAATCTTTTACAAAAGTGTACAATATATACTTTAAAGTGATGTCTGTCTACCTTGTACTTGATAATTTATTATCTTTCATACTACGAATGATCCCTTTTTACCAGCTATTTAAACTTCTATTGGTTGTTTGGTTATCTGTTCCTAAATGCAGTGGTTCTGTATTCGTCTACAGATTTTATGTCAATGGATTAATGCGCACTTACGAACACGATCTCGATACGTTGTTAGAAAAATTGAAATTTTTTATTGTTGATAACTTTCAGAAATATAAAGACTACGCTTACGGAAAAATTAAGGAGAAAAGAGAAGCTTATAAATCGAAAAAAAATAACAATTTACAAGATGTAGGAGATATTTCTGATATTGATATAAATGATGTTATTAAGGGAGAAATTGAAGGAGGAGAATGTGAGACAAATAATAACAATAATGGATCAACTAAATATATGAATGGATCATCTCTTAATACGAATGGTTTAGTTCATAATACAAATTTATCATCTTTCAATTCCAATGTATCAACGAATGGTAAAAGTTAATAAAAAATTATTTGATCATAATGTTACATTTAATTATTGAAATTTGACGTAATAGTAGTCATGTAATTTTTTAAAAAATGTTCTGTAATTAGAATACATGTTTTTTAGTTTAACATTTTAATCAAGAAACTTCTTTAGATATTCTTCTTTGATTTGCTATCAAGAAAGACACTTAATTTAAAATATACCAATTGGATTTATAACCTATGTTGTGTAATTGTTTACACTACAAAATTGAGATAAATAATTAAATTTGCAACTTTTACTCTAGAATGTGCGCTGGTTCAAATAATATAAATTATGTTAGTACTGCATATTTGACTGTGCTAAAAAAATTGCATTATTAAACTTTGTCAACTCAATTGGTAAACATTAGGGTCATGGTTTTGGGTCTCATACTGGATGTATTTCGAACCTTTTATGGTGCATCAGATAAATCTAGAGAATCTAAAGTTTAAAATTTAAATGGTAAAAGAAAAGTTGAGATTATTATTGAAAATGAGAACACCTTAAAACTACACGATTTTTTATATACTAAAAAAATTTTTGTTTTTTGAAAAATGTAACTTTTAACGAAAAAAATGTGTGTCAAAGCAAAATATTTAAATACAAAATTATAATTTATATAATCTAATACGTTAAATATCTTTATTCGTATTTTAAAAAAAGAGAAATATATAGTAGATCCTTTAGATTGTTGTTTGTAGATTTCTTCAAAGCATAAATCCAAGTAGATAAATCTTACTAATTAAGCTCTTTTGTTTCTGTGAGATAGGTTTCTTTTTATACTTAACCGTTTTACTTAAATAGTATTTGTATTTATATTATCAATTTAATTCACAATTTTTTTTAAAACAAGTAACAGCTTTGTATGCAAAATAATTAAATTTTAATTATAATAAACTTTCTAACAGTCACTAATGCTATAATAATAAGGTAAAATATATTTTAACATAATATTCTCAAGCTCTGCCCTATTTATTTGCATTACTAAATAAGACAAAGTTCTACGAATATAATACTCAACTTTACCAAAGATTTAAAAATTATCAACCCTACTATATTTTCTCTTGCCAGATTTGCTTTCGGTAATCTCTATTATATTTCCGCTTTCCTTAAATTATACACTCAAGATATCTATTATATATTGCTTCTTTTTAAATTTGCAAATAATGACAGATACTTTATTTTTTTAAATTTCTGTGATGATGAGCGAAGGATTGTTTAAATAAAAATCAACAATTTTTAAAAGGTGAAAGGAGGAACTTTAAAAAAAAAACCAGTATATTTAAAAATAGAATATCTTTCCTTTCCGAAAATTAAATTTACAAGTATCACTGATACGCCAAATTGTACAATTTCTTATCCTCATTTTTGGCAACCAAAAATTAGGATATATGCTTATATCATATTTGAGATTTCTTCATAATGCTTCTTCTATTGAAAAATCAAAAAATATGAGCAAAAAAAATATTTAGATTATATTAAAAATTGTGGAGTTTGGGGGAGTTTTAATTAAAAAACCAATAACAAAAATTTGTTTATGTCAACCAGGTTTTAAATAACAGATTCATCGGATACAAGATTGGGCGCGTACTTGCCCAGATAATAGAATGAAAGAAGTGACCTATGGCTTTTTCATTCAAATAAATAAGAATACGGAAGTAAATTATACAATAATAGAAAAGGAGACGTTGGCAATGTTTTGAACAAAGCATTTTATTTATTGTTTGGACGAAAATTTACCATATATACAGATTACGAGGTTTGAAGCTTTAAAACAAAGGGTTTAATCAAGTTGCAAAAAATAATAGATGCATTGAAAAAATTTAAATGTGTAATTTGACATAGAATGTAAAAGGCCTGACAAACCAGAGTATTTTAGCATTCTGTCATAACATCATAATGTAGTTTTTATAAAATGTGATAAAAGTGAAAGTTTTATTATTAAAGCACATGAAAAATATATATTCATCGACATTTTAAAGCCACACATGAAAATTTAAGACAGGCAAAACCTGAAGACGAAATATCGTTTAACCAATTTAAAAAGTACTTAGAAGAAGTTTAGGTGTACGTAATATCCCAAGTTTAGATTTAGAATGTTTATACATATGGAAACATTTAATCTGGGCGAAAAAGTAGCTTTCAATATTATACGTTCATTTGAAGGTGTATATATATTACAGCTATAGAATGTTTCTCAAGATACGCATGGGCAAAAGTATAAAAAACAAAATATAGTAAGAAACTTTGAAGTTTTTAGAAAAAGTTTATAAAAAACTTTATTTGACGAGATATAAATAAATCATCACCAACTTTTAAATTAATAATTAATCCTTAAAAATATTTTGCTATAGAAAATTTACAAAAATTCTGAAAGAAAAAGGCCTGAAAAAATAATTTATTCAAAAATTTTAAAAAAACCAATCTAAAAAAATGTTTGGTTTTATAAATGTCAAATATTAAATAAGCTAACAAATAAAAAATAATAGAATTCAGGTTTCAAGAAAAATTTACTTTAATAGAATTTTTAGTTAATGATTCAAAATTATAATCTCCGCCGTTCTCTGCTACGCTATACGATACATAATATTTGTAAAAACATGATTTTATTCATAAATGAATATCACACATTTCACTTTTAGTAAAACAAGTCACTATTTTTCCATTCTTGTAACAGGATTTAAAGTTGGATCGTTTATCTAAATAAATAGGCAAATGATGCTTGTATGGTCCACCTTAAATATTTTCTTCTACTATCACTTCTGCTTTTACTAATAAACATGAAATAGTAATGTAAAAGCTTTGCCTTATTAAAATTTATTGTATCAAATATCTAACAATTATGCATCAAAATTTCAAATATATGTGCAGTGAATTATTGTGTTCACTTATTAGTCTTTCTCTTCATTATGTAATATTTGATCGAATTTGTATACACATCCCATATATTTGTTATATTGGTGTATAACATCTAATATAACTTTTCCTTTTACTTCTACAATGACATCAACATTATATTTTGTTGTAAGCACCACTACAGGCTTTTAGTCGTTCGATGTTAGTTTCTGCGAATTTTCTTTTCCAAAAACTCAAATGCTCCTTTCAAATTTTTTTTAAAGATTTTCAAAGTTTTCAGATCCCTCAATTATTTCTCAAAGTTCCACATACATAAATACCATCAGCAAGAAGAAGTTCTGCAAGTTTAAACGAGTTATAATAATTATCTATATATAGGGCTTTATTATTTCCCTCCAAAACAATATTTTCTAAAGAGTTTTTTTTACCTACTATTCTTAGTTATAGGCGCATCCAGTATTGATTCAGCTAAAATAAAAAATTTTATACACCATTTATCAGGTTTTATTGGAGAGTGAATTCTATTTTTTATGCGGTCTTTAAATGCCATCATTCCTAATCGATTGCAATGTGCTCTCCTGAAGTAAGTAACGATCTAAAAAGATTTTCTAAATACAGCACAATTTTTAGCATCATTTTAGTCATGATATCAATAATATTGTTTTCACTGATCATTGTAACATGTTTATTTATTGCTTAAACCTTTCATGGCTCATTTTTTACCAATATTTGCATCATAAGAAATTTTTTTTGTTTTAATCCAGCAGAATGCATAATTTAGATATTTTTAACTCAAAGTAATAGCGGGATTGCTCTATGTATCCAAATAATTCCTTTATTGCCACAATTTTAGCTCTTTTTGTAGCTAATAAGCGAGAATTTTTTTTATATCTTTTTATTGGTGTGTGTTAAAGTATACTTTATTAACTGACTCAATAAATAGTACATCAAAAAAATTTTACTCATTTGGAGAGGAAGAAAAAGGAAGTTGTTAAGAATTACTAAATGATAAAGTAGAAAATTTCTACGTAATTTTGTCCAGCAATCACTTAAAGTAGCTGAATTATCTTGGGACAATTTTTGGACATTAAATTTTGCTTAATTATATTCTTCTGCTTCTAATTGGTCTATGTCATCTGTTTCGATAAAAAAGTAAATAAAATGTTTAATCTTTATTTTTTTCAAGCACCATAATATGGATTAAAAAATTAATGTTTTAAAAATATAAAAAATCTTGCAACAATGCATCTTTTAAAAATAAAAAAATTTTTAAGGGTTATTTTAGGTGTCAAACTAAAAATAAAAAATAAATTAATTTTGTAAAAAAAGAGGGTTAAATAATTAAAAATATAGCAAATTCATAAATAGTTGTACAAATAGGAAAAATTGGATAAAATTTATAGCCTTGGTTGAATATTGACATAAGAACAATGATGTTTTTTATATAAGACTAGGTAATATACAATGGAAGAATCGGCTACTAATACAAGGGAAGAATCGGTTATTAATACAAGGGAAGAATTGGCTACTAATACAATGAAAGAATCGACTACTAATACAATGGAAGAATCGGTTATTAATACAAGGGAAGAATCGGTTATTAATACTAGGGAAGAATCGGTTATTGATAAGAAGAAAAAATTAGTTGTTAATGAAGAGAAAAAATCAGGTAATTTTAGAAGGAGAAAAGCAGCTTATAGTAAAAAGAAAAATCCTGATTCCGACAAAAAGAAAGTCTTAGAAGCAAGTAATCCTTTTTCTGAAGATGATACTAATAGCCCTCAACAAAAAGAGAAGGAAAAATTCTATTATTCCCAGAAGATGAGTATAAGAACTTTAATTGCTTACTTGAAAAAATCGATGCGCTTATCACTTCAAAAGCCACGGTTTTGCAAAATTGTCTGCAAATGCAAATTAAATCATGCGATGCCTTTCAAAACACAGATTTGAGTATTTAAGTCGTTTTTGCGACAAAATTTGCGGATTAAATATTTTACGCACTAAATTTATAAGTCAACGTCAAAAAAACAGTATAGCAGCACAAAATATTAGTGCAAGAAGTTTTATTTATGATGATTTACAGGCACGATGTAAAAAATTAGAAATTTATTTAAAAACGAAAGAAAATATTTTTGGTGAAGAATACAACTCACTAGGAGATTTTAATACTTTTGTACGAGAATTAAATCTACTGTCAACGATGTACTATTCTGCTTTGAATTTTTTAAAAAAGCCTTTTTTAAAATTTTATTCACGAATAAAGTCAAATTATGATTTTAAAGATTTACATAAATTGATGAATCAAACTTTAGAGGAAGCAGATTACGCTACAGCATCAATTCTACACAAGTGTGATTTTATTACTGATACAGAATTGTACCATTATACTTTAATATATCTTAATAATAAATTATCACAATTTGATATTAAAACGAGGCTAAATTATGCAATATCGTAATGTTTATTGAAGTTTGATAATAAATTGAAAGAACATGCCGCTTATCTTAACTTTATTGATGAGCTTAAGAGTTATATCGATAGTATAGCCAAGGTTGATAAAGCATTGAATTTTATAATTTTAGGAAACTTAAATTTTTTAGAATCCAAGGTAACAACAATAAATAGATACAATTATATTGGTCCTTAAGCGAGAAAACATTTAATTAAAAATCATTTTTAAAGTGAATATTCTTTGCTACATCATATTTAATTAATTTATCAATGTTTTTTACATGTCCTAAAAACATTCTCTTACAGCAAATTCTCTTAATATCCAATTCATTCAACGCATCCGCAGGAGGTTTATCTGTATTTATAAGATACTTATATGGATTTTATTTACTGGAAATTCTTTATTGCATGTAAAGCATCGAACAGGAAGTAACATGGGTTAAAAACTATATTTTTTAAGTAAAAAATGCTTAAAAAATGACGTTTATTTTTAAACTATCTAACGCTATTCCGTTTGAAACGGGATTATAAATAAATAATATTCTTATTTTTCATTGTATAACACGTCTTTAGGCTTGTGCGCATTGTTTAAAGTACAAAATGTCTTACATTGTAAAGTAAAATTTGCAATAGTCACCATTTTGCAATGAAAAAAAATTGAAAAATCTTATGTAAAATACACAAAACCTCGTAATGTTCTTTTAGTAACAATTCTATACAATTCTTTAGATTGTATTTTAATGCTTTTAAATTAAAAATAAAACAGAATTTCACAATTTGAAAAAAAAAGGGTTAAAAGATAAATAAATGTTCAGATTTAAACTTTTTATATATATAGACTAGCTTAAGCCATTCCGTTTAAAACGAGACTTTAAATACAATGTATGCTTTTGATTATTTGTAT